AATTCAAAAATCAGATAAAAGAATTGTTAGAACAAAGGCTTATTAGACCAAGTAATGTACCTCGTAGTAGCCCAGCCTTTAGGTTATGAAACATTCTGAACAGGTTAGAGGAAAAATTATAATTGTTATAAATTATAAAGAACTAAATAAATATACTAAATTTGATGGATATTTTTTACCAAATAAAGAAGTTTTAATTAACCTTGCAAAAGGAAGACAATATTATTCTAAATTTGACTATAAATAAGGATTTTGACAAATAAAAATGAAAGAAGATGGTATACAATATACTGCATTTAGTACACCTCAAGAAAAATATGAATAGTTAGTAATGTCATTTAGATTAAAAAATGCACCACAAATATATAAATGAATAATATATTTAAAAAGTTTAATGAATTTTTAATTATTTATATAGATGATAATACTGATATGTTCTAACAGTAAAGAAGAACATAGGAATCATTTAATCCAATTCATAAATGAATGTAAAAAAGAAGGAATTGTACTTTCTAAAAAGAAATATATAATAGAAAAACAAGAGATAGATTTTCTTGGATTATCAATAAATAAAAGAGGAATAAAATTGCAGACTCATATATCTAAAAATATTGAAAGTTTTTCAGATAAATTAGAATCCAAAGAACAAATATAAAATTTTTAGGATATTTAAATTATTAGGAGGATTTATTAAAATCTTTCTAAGAAAAGGTATAAAATACAAATTTTATTTAGAAATACAAATACTAAAGGATGGAATAAAGAACATGCAGAATTAGATAAATAATTCAAAGAAGAATGTAAAAATTTACCAAAATCAAGATTATCAGATGAAAAAGATAATTTAATTGTTAATACTGATCCCTCAGATAAATATTGGACAGCAATATTCAAAACAGATTTAAATGAAATTTGTAGATATTCAAGTGGAACTTTTAATCAAGCAGAAATAAATTATACCACTCATGAAAAAGAATTACTCGCAATTATTAGAGGGATAAAAAAGTTTTCATTATTCTTACTATCCAAGAAATCTACCGTTGAAACTGATAATTCTCAAGTTACAGGATTAGTCAGGAATAAACTACCATTAGAACCTCAATACCGAAGGCTCCGTAGATGGCAAGCTTATTTAATATTTTATAATTTTGATATAGTTCATGTTAAAGGAGTTAATAATTTTCTTGCAGATTTTCTCAGCAGAAATATAGAATTTGCTAATAGATAAAGCCAGGGTCATGGAGTTATACCAATCTATCCTACATATACAAAAAGGACAGATTTTCTTAAAGAAAAATCTGAAGATATAAAAATGGAGCAACACAGATCTCAAAAATGTTCAATTCAAATATAAAAATATTGTTGAATATCACTATTAAACATCATAAAGAAGCCATAGAACTCAAAAATCGAGTTGATGTTATTGCAACACAACTAAAAGATATACTAAAGAGCTCAGAAATGAGTTTTCCAAATCAATACCAAATAGGGACAGTTGGAAGCAGCAGTAGACCCAGACGTGACAATATACCAACTGATAAAAAAGCAGATTCCATTTCAGTAACACCAACCAAAAAATGGTGATACATGGAGATAAAAAAGATTTCAAAACAATCAGCATCATAGACCAGGATGATACAATCCCTTTAGATCCAAAAGAAGAAGAATATGCTAAAATAATCAGAATTGTTTATGAAATAAAAATAAGTGATTTATATTTCATCTTTCCGAGAAATAATGTTTATCATAGAATAACAGCCATAGAAGAAGGAGACTATTTGTTTATAAAGATTATGACAGAGTATGGATTTATGGATTTGATATATCCAGGAAAAGATTTGATTAAAATTTCAAAATTTGATGACATATTCATAAAAGAAATATCAAGATTTGCCAAGGGACGAAAAATATATTTGAGATTTTATTCAATAAGTCCTGAATACGATTAAGTTGTTTATTATCTAGTTGAACACATAATCTTAATTGGATATGTTGCAGTCAACTTCCGAATAGATGTGGTGGAGAATGATAGAAAAATTTCAACAATGACAAAATCTTGGATTAGACATAGAAGAGCATTTGGAATTAAAACTATATAAAATATTGCTAAAAATTTGTTTGATAACAAATTTTCATGTTTGTGCCAATATGAAAACTGGATACTGGTATCAAATGGAGGACATGAAAAATAAGAAATCTTGAAAGATTACATTACAAGATTCGAAATACATCAACTTCCAGGATGTCCTATCACCGTAAAAGAATCCTACCAGCTAAGAGAGTGCCACAACTGCATGTGAAAACATGAAAGATAAATGACAATAATAGAGAAAGATGCTCTTTGAATTAAAATGTTAAAAAAAGCATGTGGAGATAAAGAAAAAGGAGGACAATAATGGGAGCTCCTTTAATCAGATGCTGCCTGTGAAGATGTAGGTCCAAGGAGAATAATAATAGAAAGGCAAGTGTGCATTTGTTGATGTACCGAATGATGTAATAGATCTATAATAGAGCCTTATATATTTGTATTTGTATAAATAGAGGCATTGTAATAGAGAGAAATCATATTGAAATCTCAAATTGTAATCAATAGCCACTCTTAAGTCATCCTTAGTCCGAAAAATTAGTTTTTCTAGAAATCCTTGTATACCAAATAGAAATTTTGTAAAAGTTCTGATAGAATACAAAATTTCAATATTTTGATATAAATATGAGTTTCTAAATCTTTATTCCCAACGATTCTTGAAGGATCTAATAGAAAGTTTTCTTCTTATTTTAGCAAAAAGAAAGTTTTTCTTTAACAAAAGTATAGAATTTTATTCTTTAGAATTGATACAGTGAGAATAAGAAACTGAAATTGTAAAAATTTCGTGAATGCAGGAGGTCATTGAAGGAAGCAGTTTACATATTCAGAGCTCAAATGTCACTCGATTCTAAGAATAAAGATTCAGATCAAAACTAAGGTAAAACTATTAATTTTTTGCTAAAATTAGAATGAATCTTTATAGAGCTTAGAGAATCAAAGGGATTAATTGCATGATTTAATGATTATTTGTATAAATGTCAGGATATACAATTGAAGGATTAGATAATTTATTAGAAAAAAATATTTTTCTTTTTCTTACATATTAATTAACTTTTGCTGTGTAATGAATCGATCTTTGGTACAATAACTTTCTGTGTGTTCTATTTTTGGAATTATAAAGTTTAGTAAATTTGACGGTGGTTTTAGATAGCCCCGTTTTATTTATTTATTTGAAAAAAGGGGCTTTGAGAGTTGTAATGATCTTGTTGATTTCCTGTAGGGGAAACTATTAAGGAACGTTTGAAACCTGTAGAGGGATGTAAAATTGTGAGCATTCTAGGTTTTGTGGATATGAAGCAATGCAAAGTTAGTATTTTCTTTCATATTGTTTATCAGAAGGTTAGAAATTCAAACATTTGAATTCTTTGGTGTCAAATTTATCTGTTCATGGTACATTTGTAATATCAAATTTGTCCCATGGTTGTGATGTTACCTCTGAATAGTTAGTTCTAGATGGCATTTTGAGGGATCTTTATTTTCTCGTTATTGTGATCACGGATTTTTATGTAAGTTCCTTCCGTTTTTTCTTTGCATTTCCGATTGGCAAAATTTTTATATCATTTATAAATGGTCAAACGTTTTTTTCAACCACACATTCCAATGGACCCACAAGTATTATCCACTTGTTCATCACTCATTTCTATGTATTTATGAATTCTTCCAAAACTGAGACAAATTTAACACTGTACTTTACACAGTGAATATAGGTTCAGTAATGATGTTCTTTGTCTATATATTTCAAATGGAAGGATGGAAATCAACTATAGTATTCTACTTGTTCAATATCGCTGTTACTTTATTTTTTGCATTTTAATAAAATATGTAGTTGTTCAACCTCATAAAGGGTTCTATAATTTTTGCAGGGTAGATAAAAGTTCTTGAAACTTCTGGTTTTTTTTATTCATCTTATGTAGATCAGCAAAGTTCCTTGACGATTTAGCAAAATTGTTTGCTATGCTTGTTTTTCATGGGCTGCATTTCTTTAACTAAATGGCTCTATATATCTCAGCAGAGGATAAAAAATTTAGGGAAATTGGAAAGGAAGATTTTCATGTTACATCCACCGGCTCAGAACTCTATCAAATAAACTCTGCCGAACAGTTGCAATCTGGTGTCAACGCACTCAACAAGAAAGCAGCCAAGCGAAGTGAACTTGAAATGATTTTAAATAGTAAGTCACTAGACGAAGCAAAGGAGAAAAGAGACATAGAAGTAGCAATTGAGGACCTCTTTAAGCAAAAGATTGAAGCTGGAATTGGATATTTTATAACATCAAGAATGATCCAAAAGTTGAAGATTGTAGTGGATGGACAGAGTCTTTTAGAACACCAGAAAACTCTGGCTTCTGAGCAAGCTCAGATGCTGAACAGGCTTGAAGATGCAGAAAACAAGGCTGCAACGCTAAATAAAGAAGCTGAGAATCTGGAGAATGATTGTGAAGATATTGTTAGTGCTAATGAGAACACGACATTGCAGAAGAGGGTGTGGAAGTACATTGCATTTTTCTTTTTGCAGTCGGTAATATTGATCATTATCATGGGACTCTTTGTTTTGCAGATATCACCAAAGTATACCCGGTCTGTTCCCACTTAGTTTTAAGAAGAGCCATATTTCTCCTTGTTATCTCAATCTGGAGTCTGGTCTGAATCCCAATTCCCAATCCACTTTGCAATTGTGAATGGTCGAATAGCACATAATGAAAGGGCTAGGCCTTTGGAAATTTAAACCTAGCATGGATTACTGCAGCTAGGGCAATTCAGGATGTGGCTCTGGTACTGGGGGTGTTATGAGATTATGAAGGTTAATTTATTTTTGCATTTTTTGAGTCATATGATCATTGTTCCAACTTAAAGGCTTTACAGATTTTTGGGTGGAGTGGGTTCTACAGTTGCAACAATGTCTGTCACTAGGGGTGAGATTGGTCCGCCGTGGAGCTTACGATACTTCATTGAGGAAATTAAAAGAGTTCCGTAATTAATTTCCCATGGATTACACGCGGGATTTTGCAAACTTTAATTTGAGTAAAATGATTAAGGGTCTAGCTAAGATGGATAAATTAGATGTTCTAAGTATTCAGTTCAATAAATGATTTCCAGCTTATGATCATATAATGGAGGTAGTAATTCCGTGTTGACTTTTCAACCCTTCTCATCTTCTCCATGTATAAATCTCGAAGCCAGGTCTTTGTACTTTCTCATTTGTACTTCTATTTAAATCCATGGATGGCTTCATGCCAAGGACAATTCCACTTGAACACGGTGAGGGACAGGGCCTGAAAAAATATAACGAGCTAGTGGATTGTGTTTGGCTCTTTTTTTTTTTTTTTTTTTTATAATTTTCAAACTCTCCAATAATGTATTGACACCTGTCCAACCGGTTTTTTACTCTGGTTTTGAATCTGTTCCTGTAACATTACTCGCATGCCAAACCCCTACTCGTGTCAAGTGGAATTTGTACTTATATTATGGATCAGTCACTTCACTTCTCTTACCCTAGGGGAAAGCAAGTACTTTGCCCAGAGATTGCTTTCATTAGGCCCTTTTTTCATCCAATTTCTGTTCATGGATTCTGTAATATAATTGCCATTATAAGAAATTTATACCACTGGTTTGTGTGACATCAACTAAGGGCCTAATGAAATTTATCCCACTGGTTTGTGGAACAATTCTCATTTCATCTTCGAATTCAATCATTCAAATTATTTACTAATTTCAATAATAATTTACTACTACATACTGAAAATTAAATAGGGATAAATTAGGAAAGATATTGGCAAAAATTAGTTTTCTGGCGACTTTAAAGAAATTATTTAATCCGTACGAAAAACGAAACAAGCCTATATAATTAGAGGCGGGGGAGTATATATCTATTCATCATTGATGTTGGGTCTCCCTGAAGTTATTTGTGGAACATTTCATATTTTCAATGGGAGGTCCTGAGTTTTTGATGGATCATTTCAGTGGGACATACTAAATCTAGCCTAACATGAATATACTCTAAATTATATGAGTGAACATAATTCCATTTGATTCTGGTTTCAAGATAATCAGAGCAATTCATGAACTAATCGTTTTTTTTTCTTTTTTAATAATAGAACCAATGTTTTAAAATATATATATATATATATATATATATATATAGAATCAAATCGAAACCGAAACATTTGGTTAAGGTTTGACTATGGCTACTTGAATTTTAAAATGATAAATGCAAATAAAAATCTATTACCATATCCATAAGTCAGTAATATATACCTAAATACAAAAATAATAATAACCATCAAACATTGAGCAAGTTCAAATTATCAATCGTTAAATGAAATATCATTCAATAAAATTTATTCACAAAAGTCCAAACAACAAACAAAACTTAATCAAAATTTGAATACACAAACATCAAGTTCCATCCCCATACAAAATAGTCTAATAATAATGATTCACTAATGTAGACAAATAAATCACCAACAAAAAATAATATCAAGTTCCAATCACTTTCTCCACCCAATCAATTTCTTTACACGATGCCATCAAACGAATGAAATATGAAACTGAAATATAAGGTTGAAAATTGAGAGTAATAATTAGGAGCGGTGAAAAAAAAAATCATTAAAAATAACTAAGATTAACTAACTGCTGGAAATAACCAAGAAAAGAAATATTAAAAAATAAAAAATAAAAATTGAGTTCAATTCTTAGTTCTAGAGTCAGAACCAAAGCAATGGTTCTTGTTCAAATTAGAGGCCACTAATATATAAGAGTGAAATTGGGGATACTAATCAGGTTTATTAATCGAAGAATCCAAACGAGGAAAAGGTTTCTGTTAAGCAAAGAAGGTTTGTAAATTAGCAACTGCAGTTTGATTGATAATGCAGAAAGGGAAGAATTGGGAGTTTTCATCAAAAATCAGCTAGCATTGAAGAACGCACAAATATTGTGAGAGTACTAATGCAAAAAACGACAATCAAGAATAAGAAAAGAAGAAAAAAGTTGAGATTTAGTGATCTTGAAAGTTGAATCCCTGAAATGTGCTGGTCCATTGACTACGAAGCCTCTTCACAATAAGTATAGGTGCATCACCTGGGGCAAGTTCTTTCAAACTCACCAAGCACTGGGGAGTCGTAGGGCCAACCATAAATTCCATTAATCAATCTTCGTTTGCAAATTCTGGAAATGAAAGACTTTTCGATTGCTATTGTCGAAGTAGATGACGAAATCAAAGAAATAACCTATAAATATCATAGAATTCAAGATTTTGATCTCAACAAGGTGCGTCCACTGGAGGGTGAAGCTGGTATTGTGTCTGAACTTGCAGTAAACTGCCGCTAAACCTCTAATTTATTCACCCTTTTTTTCTCTCAAAGGAAGTCTTATCTGAGCTTAGCAGATTTTTTTGTTTTTTCCCCCTCAAGTAAACACACATATCGGAAACAAAAAGGACCAGAAGAATTCGAGAAATGCTAGAAGGTTTTGCAAAAGAGAAAATCTGGGTCAGTGCAAATGGCTGCTGAAATAGGCTGTTGTTGAGAGGTCTAAAACCTAGGAAAGTTGGCCGCAGAGAAGGATGTCACGGTAGTGGTGCCCGTTTCATATTATATATATTTTATGAAAGAGGTTGTTTACCTTAGGATCCGTGGCGCAATGGTAGCGCGTCTGACTCCAGATCAGAAGGTTGCGTGTTCGATTCACGTCGGGTTCAAATCCCCAACACAAGGATTCAATCTTTCTGTTTGTTTGTTTTTCTTATTTTTTTTTTCCTTTATTTGTCGGCAGGCTTTTTGTTTAGTTCTTCCAACAAAGTTCCCAATCTGAGACGCTTTACACATAGAAGGACCTGGTCTTCACAAACAGCTTCAGCATTAGCTGGTGGATGACTGTCTAGTTTAGGTTCACCTCGCAATACATAAGACGGACAAGCATTTAGAAGGCAAAAAGTTCCGTCATGAAAGACATCAATGTTCTTGCCATAAACGTGAAACTTTTCACATTTCTCCTGGATAGTGTCAAACCAGTTCGTAACCAGAGTACCTAGGAGACACACAAGGTATGAGTCCCAAGAATGAAGCAATATTCCAGAGACTCTACTTAGAATGTAGATGGAATATGAGCCATACTTATGCCTAGATGAATTTACATGAAGAAATGCTTTGATGGCTTTTGAATTTGATGCCTCAGAAAGATAAACAAGGCGTCGAAATTGTAAAATCAAATTTAATAATATGACTTGTTGATCTCGGAAATTGGACCCTCCACGTGATCAATCAATAGTCACTCCATGTATTCATCCCTACACACAATCAATGCACGGTCAGATGTACACGGTCGGAACCAGCGGGGGTGGCGGTGGTATACACTCCGACGATCAAATTAGGCTCAAGCTATCGGAACAGTATGAAGGTTGTACAAAATAGGGGAGAGGAGAATATATGTTTACTTGCTATGGAGTGCTAAGTAGAAACAGTTTCATTACCTTTGCCTCTTACCAAGCCTTGGGTATTTATAGGTGAGGAGAGCCGTTGGATGTGAGACACGTGTATACATCTGAACGGTATGAGATGTCTGTTCATAGGCGTCAATCAGCCACGTCTGTAGAGTGGGCGGGAAGTTACTTCTCCTGAGTTGAGTTGACATAAAGTTGATAGGTCACATCAACTAGCTTCATGGAGACGTCAAATCACTATAAACCTTAGGGACAGAAAAGATCTTAACAAAGATCTCATTCTGAAATGGGCGGCGGACCTTCAGGCCGAGGTCCACGGGGATCGTTTCGCCTCGGATTCAGGGGGATGGGGTGCTTCGGCCAGTCTTGTAGAATTACCACTTAGGGGGACCACTTCGTATGAACGTTCCACACATCGGCTGATGTGGTGGTGGACTTTTCGAAGTGGAATCACTTCGTATAAGTGTTCCACACATCGGCTGAGATGGGTTCAGTTCGAGGCGTAACAGTGGTCCCCCAAGTCTAGGTATGAATATTTATATCATGGGTGGAGTTGTCTTCCTGATCGGGTATATGCGCCTCGGGATGGGGATCGTGATTTGTGAGAACTTAAGGGTCAATTTTCTGTGTTCACCGAAGCGTGAATCATAGGCAGATGCGCTAAATCCTCGCCGCTGTGTGAGGGAAGAAATTTATGCGAGGTCGAGGTGTTAACGAGCTAGACGATGTGTGGGGAGATGGTCAACGCACCGTCGAGGCGATTACCAACATGTGACTCCACGTCAGGTGCGCCGACCCATAGGGAACGACGCGTTGGGAGATGACTAAAACTTTGTAAAGCTTAGACGGAAACGTAGCGACCGAGCGATGACCCACAGGGGACGACACGTTGGGAGATCGCTAAAACTTTGTAAAGTTTAGGAGGGAACGCAGTGACTGAGGCGATGACCCACAGGGGACTCTGCATCAGGTACGTCTAAGCGTTGTAAAGTTGAGTGAGAAGCTCATCTGCCACCGGTGCGCTGACCCATAGGGGATGACGTATTGGGAGATGGCTAAAACTTTGTAAAGCTTAGGAAGGAACGCAGCGACCGAGGCGATGACCCACAGGGGACTCCGCATCAGGTGCGTCTAAGCGTTAAAGTTGAGTGAGGAGCTCATCTTCTACCGATGCGCTAACCCACAGGGGACGATGCGTTGGGAGATGGCCAAAACTTTGTAAAGCTTAGGAGGGAGCATGGCGACCGAGGCGATGACCCACAGGGGACTCCGCGTCAGGTGCGTCTAAGTGTGGTAAACTTGAGTGAGGAGGTCATTCAGAGGCGAGCGTGTATGATGTTAAATGATTTGACAGCTATTGCGTATTTCCAAGGTGACAGTTGGGTGTAGCGCCCATTCCCCTAAAAGGCTGCTGCGGCTACTTATTGTTGACGGCTGGTCGTGATCGAGGCGACGCGTTATATGCGAGAGTGAGGGTCACAACAAAATCTTAGGCGTAAATCAAATCTGGCGTTTCATTTCAACGGCTTAGATTGATG